AATACAGAACACTTTATCTCCCACAAAACAAATCGATGGAAAACATTTCCTTTGAATGATTCATTTTATTCAATTTTGTCATAAGCTTTGGCATAATTCCAAACAGCATTGGCAATTTCCTTTTCAGATCAAGACATCTGCAAATATTTAACAGGATGGTCTGATTAAAAAAAAAAACCATAATGACAAATTAATTAAACAAAGAAACCAAAATATGGGAGCTATGTGACTTCAAATTAAGACACATAAAACTACAGCAAGATATTTTAAAAGTAGTTGGGGTTTCAGAAGTGCTGTAAATCAACAAGCCTGTCTTGAAGTGCAAAAGTACAAAAAGTCACACCAAATATTTACTTTACATAAAACCTTTAAAAAAATTATAATAATTTAGATATACTAATGCTACCTGATTCTAGGGAGTATAAAAGATTAAGACAACTGGGAAAGTAAGAAAATGACTACACTAATTATTTAAGGATTTGTTTTCAAAATATTAATTAATGGTTAACAACTGTAAATATAGGGTTCTGAAAACTGTTTACTGGAAAAACGCCTTTAGGAACAATATAAACACCAGAGAAAAGTATTAGAACAGAATACTCATTTTAAAATAGCTTTCCCCTATTCCTATTGTTTGTCCCTGGTCTTTTATCACTGTCAGTTTGTTCATACATAAACAGCTCATGAATATAAAGGGGGTGGAAAAATCAGTACTACTGTATACAAGATTACAGAAAAATTAAATGAGCAAGTACTTCCATCTCTCTGCCTCATCAAAGTATATATTTTAAGCTTGTGAAATATCCTATATATGCACTCAAAATTCTCAGCATACTTCAATGCTACAAGGCGTAAGACATTCTTTTTCCTTTTTTTTTTTAAGTGATTTTTTTTAAGTGATTTTTTTTTCTCCTCACTGGACACAGAGGAATTGCATTAGGACATGGTCCTTTTTCCCTACATCCGCCTACGACAAACATTTGCTGCAAGTCAGCGACTCCAAAACCAAATTGTTTACAATTAACTCCAAAAGCCATTAAAAAATTGTTTCTTTGTTCCAGTTGGAAAGAGAGAGAGCCAGATGTGTGGCTTGTTGATCTTGCTCTTTGCTGACCTCTGAGTGTAGGAAGAACTGCAGCTGAGGAAGGAAGTCAGCAAGTTGTGTTAATGAAGGTGAACACTGCAAAAAAGGGCTTGTAATTTTTTTCATTAAAAAAATGTATTTGAAAGACTTTTTATTAAAAAAGAGATAATACAAGGCCTTATTTTTTCCTGTGGATGAAGAATTTGAGCCTTTGTTTCAGAAGAATTAACTGAGTTTGTGTCTTTTGCTACTTTTGAAAAATGTTGCCCTTAATTTCAAAATCTTCATGAAGTTTCACTGAGGTGCCTGCAAATTAGCAGACAACTCATAATTAACACCTGCTGGAAAACCATCATTCTTTGAGAATGTAAAACTCAGGAAAAGCCTTTTAATTTTAGGTTCTGAGTCACAGTCTAGCACTACCGACCAAAATCTGGCAAAAAGCTGAATTCCAGATTGAGAGTGTGCCCAGTTCTTGGGAAAGCACATCTGCCCAACAATACAAAGCAATCCCGACAATTACCACAGTGCTTTTCTTCACAGTCCTCCCTGAAACACATTTATGCATTATATCTGTAAAATACCTGGCAAAGAATTAACTAGAGGTCTGTGTTAAAAACTTCATTACGTGGTACTCCTCATAACCGTACAGAACATGTCTGTACAAGATACTCTGTGAGATAAAAACAGGCTCGAAAACTGAACAGCAACAGGTGTGAAACGTTATCAACTTGTTTATAAACTTTTAATTACTTTCTAAAATAATGTTTGAAATGCATTCTGAAATTCTACAACCACAGTGCTCATCATTTTATCAAGATACCTGAGATGTTAGTAAGTTATCATGGCCTAAGGTAAACTAAGGACACATTTGTGTGTGAAGTACAAATTCACTTCAGAGATTCAACTTCAGATATTAATTCTGGCACTTAACATCAATCCTTAAGCAGTTAGTGAAGACTGCTTTAGACATCCAACTTAATTGTCTGGATTAGGCTAAATGTTTGATCTCGTTCTCCCTGCATGCTAACTTCATCTTAAACACTTCACACTACTTTTGGTGGAAAATGATGCCTAATTCTTGTCAAGTAGTTACTGCTTTAAGAACATACTTACCATATAAAGACCTGAATATAATCACAGTTCATCTTCCAACTGTCTATTATGATATTATTTAATTAAGAAACTTTCCAAAGTATTCTTAGAAAACAGGAAATTGAAAATGAAAAACAGTTTACTCCCTTCCCACCCCATATTCTCCTGCTCCCAAGGTCATTTAAAAAAAACCAACAGTAATAGATCACCATATTCATGTATACACAAAACAATTCTGAAAACAGTTATGCTATTATTTAATCTGATAGGGACATTCAAACTCTGGAGAACTAAAGCAATAATTCATGTCACATTTTTCAAAAGTAAGGAATACTGGCCATTTTAAAACCAGTCTACAAGATTCAGTTTTCCTCTTTGCACTGACAGAAATTAAAACCTTATCATGTAAAGTTCCCAGCACAGCTCAAACAGCTCACACTTCAGAACACAAAAAATTGCTTCTACTGCATTAGTATTTAGAATTTATTATTGTCTTTTCATTTTTATATTAAGATTTGATTTTCAGAACTTTTCCTTTTAGAAACAAAAAAAATCTTGTATTTAGTTAGTCTGAAAAAAAAAATTAAGATCAGTAAAGTCATATTTGAGGGTTTCATTTTGAAAAAAAGTCTTAACTGTAAAAGGTCTAACAGCCAACAGTTAGGACTTCAAAATATATCAGGTAAAAAAAAACCAAACTAATTTTCTTACCAGGTGTAATTCCAACCAGTTTATTACTTTCTACCATTAAACTTAATAAAAACAGTCAATCATGCTATAGTAGTATTAGCTTTATATGGAATAATATTAAGTAGTCCATAATTTAACAAATCTTTATTTCTTCCTTTCTCTCCCTTTTTTTTTCCTCTCCATTTCCTGTTTTCTTCTGTCTCATCAAGAGTACTCATCTTCACTCCTACCATTTTTCTTTTTATTTTTCCTTTTCCTTCTACTTGTCCTGTCTCTAAGATTTCCCTTCAACTCCTCTCAGTCCCAGACACTGGAGTGGATAAGTCCATGCTGAACACCTGGATTTGAGATTCTCTCCTCTCTGGATCAGGATCATCCTGGGCCATTAATCTTAGCTGAAATGCTATTATAAAATTTAATAGGTATGTCATTTGCATAATTCCTATTTCAACGCCCATATGACCGTAACCAAATAGCAGATTGGAAGCTCTTTTAACGGAGAAAGTAAAACCTAAAACTAAAATATGCAAAATAGGTTTGCTGGTTGTGTATACAGTCCTTACAAGTTCACATCAGTAGTTTAAAACACAGGGAGTAATTTTCTACCCTGTAGAAATTGTCAAAGCTCTGATTGCAGTCTTTCATCTTAAGTCTCTCCTGCCACCCCTGCCATCCACCTCCTCCCTTGGACCTGGGTTTGTTGACCCATCCACTGAAATAAAACAGGAATATTGCTGTCTTTCAGCTATGCTGGTTCCACTCCTTTGTAACCTTAAAGTGATGAATCTCTACATCTTCCACCTCTGCAGGTGGCTTTATTTCTTTTGAACAAACCTCCACATGATCAGCAAACACCTTTATTTTGACAGACTGCCCAGACTCCACCTGGGTACTGTGAACCTGCTTTGACAGAAACCCAGTCAGGCTGCTGCTGTGTTGGGCTTGTTTTCACCTGCAAATGGAAGTTTTTGTGGTCTTTTGCCCACAGCACCACTTGTTGGATGCCCCTCACAGCAAGCTGAATTAATGACAGCATTCACTGTTACTTAAGCAGGGTTAACTTAGAGAATCCTTTCCATACTCAGTGGCTTCCATCTCTCTGAGAAACCACTGGATCAAAGCTACCATCTCGCACAGCCTTACTACCAACAGTACAGTTAAGATACCACTGCCTTTCAGATTTTAGGTGTTACATGCTGCAAGCACTCCAGGTCAAATGCTTCACACTTCCCAGGAATCCAGGAAGGGCTGGCAAACAGCATTTTTTGGGTCACAACCAGAACCGATGTCCGTGACTCTCAGCCCTGCAGCCCTGGTGCAGTGCTGACCACAACTCAGCTGCATGTGAAATGTGACAAAGATGTCCCTTCTGGTCCCTATTATCTTTGTAGAAAGCACAAGAAGCTGGACTGGCACAACCTCTAGTATTTCACTAAGAAGTAGTTTGTTTCCAGTGACAAATTTTCTTTTAATTACATCTACAGATCAAAACCTTCTAGTTCATTTCTGTCACTCCGCTGCTTCCCCCTCAGCTATTGAAGTTTGCAGCTGTTCACAACCTCTTCATAGTCCTTCTCATGTATCCTTTTCTTGGAGCAGAGAGAAATAAGAAGTTTAAAGCCAAAAAACAATTTGTTACTGCAGGTACTGGCACTGATTCCCTTGTGTTGATACCAGTACTTGTGTGAATCTGCAGTGAGCTGATGCAGAGGCCTAAACTGACAGAAGAGTAATCCTCTGGGAAGCCTTTGCAATCCCACAGATTTTCAGCAGCAAATTCCCTAAACCACTACATCCTGCTGAGTGAAGGTGTTGATGCAAGAGAAGGGGCAGACAGCACTCAGCTAACTCCTCAAGATGGCAATGAGCTAACAGAACAACTATACACCTGATCACAAAATAAACTCCTGTACATATATCTACCATACAGAGTGGCTGGTGTGTTCTCTCTCAGGGAACATAGACATTTCGGACAAATGAGCACTTAAAATCTCAAGTTACATTGGACTCATTCAACAAACACATAAACACTGCATAAAGCAAAGTCCAGCATACTGCACTCTTTAGCTTTCTCACAACTCACATATAAAAGGAAGAGGGTACTTAACACAAACCCACAGTTATGTCTTACCTAGAAATAAAGTGGTTCCAATTCACATGCAAAAATCCAAAGAGGCGATGCTAAACATTCAACGTCCGTCTGTCATGAAAAACATTCAAGATTACACTTGGGGTCAGCTTTGCTCTTCCCTATCTCAATTTTGCAATAAAACTTTCTAGTTTAAAAAAGAAATTTCCATTAGAAATGGAGGTTATTCTATTGAAAGTGAGATTTGTAACATCCAAAAATTTTTGTAGTCATACCATTAAAAAATGCAGCTGGGTTGAAATGATCAGGTATTCAAACTAAATTTTATATCATATAATTCTGCTGAATAGATGCAGCAGATAAGTTAGATTTTACAATGAGCTGTTGGCAAGACTGGTACAGCCAAAGGAAAATAATGTGCACTGATAGTGGTATGCATTATATTAAGAATTAAAAGATATAATCATGAAATCATGGAAATGGAATACACTTCCAAAACATTTAGCAATTTAGTATAAAGGCTATATTTATTTAAAGCAATATTTATAATGAAAAAGTCCAGTTCTAAGCAGTTCTAAGTTCAGAAATTAATTTTCCAACCTTTTGAAACTACTGAAATAAAGATTGTAATTTAAATGATTTTAGTGATCATTTCATTTTCCAAGTGTTGGGGCAGGGGACGTCACTAGAAAAACAAGGAGACCAGGTGCTTCATAAAGTTCTATACAGACAGCTATTTTAATGGTACTTTTTCAACTCTCTAAATAAAATAACTTAAGAGAGATGCAAGCTTGCTCCCGGAATAAAAGTGAAACTAATAAGGAAAATAAGTCCACTACAGAAAAGCTTGGAAGTGAACTTCAATTTCAACCATAACCTTAATAATGGTAATATAGCTCTCCAAACACTTTTCCCAAATATTGAGTTTCACTATCCTCATAGCCTCAGAGGTCAAGCCATCCAGTTCATAAATCAGCTTAATTCAGCTTCATTAGGTTTTGGCTTTGAAAAACACATGGTTGTGTTTCTGCAGCTATATTTATAAATATGTGACTAAAAACTTGGTTTAATCTAATTATAGACTTTTATTCATTTAATTTCAAAACAGTAACCTTGATTGCTGCCTAAAGAGGAATTATCTCTTGAAACTCATGTGGTACAGTGCAGATTGGGTTTTTTTTTCCCTAAAAATACGTTCCTTACTGCAAATTGTAACAATTCATTATAAAAGCAGATTATATCAAAATGTAACACTAATTTCACAAGTAGAACACCCACACAGGGAACTAATTAGGACTTGCTCCTCTGTGTAAACAAATCTTTGTACCAATTAGTAGCTGGTCAAGTCAGGGAACTCCCTCTCTCTAGGGGAAAAACAATTTTTTTTTTTTTAGCATTGATTTATTTTGCTTCTGGCTGCAAATTCTCTCCAGTTCTGCAGCAATGCATGGTATTTGCAACTTGTATTTCAGACACTTTGATGGGAACTCAGTCAAGATCTGGGAAAAAAAAAGGGTAGTAGAAGACCCATAAAAATCACAGAACCAGGACTTCAAACGGGATGTGAACAAATCCTGCTCTCTGCCTAAGCCAATTCTGTCCCAAGGGTTTAGACAGACCAGAACAATAACAGTGAAATGACTCAAAACAAACAGTGGAGTAAATGAAAAAAGTACATGGGAAGAAGAATTCTCAATTGTTGTTCTATAACAAGAAAAGCAAACAAATAAAAACCTCAAGGCGAGAATATTATGCCCAGATAGCATTGTGAAAGCATCAGTGAGGTGCAACAGTAAAACTGCATAAAGGATGGTATTCAATGAGGGCTGAGCATTCATTTATCATTGATGATGATCAAATCTGCTCCACAGCTGTTCTGTGCAAGTCTGAAAGGATGAAAGGACCAGAGTTGACTCTTACCTTGTTGAAGATGATCCAGAGCCTTCCCAATACTTAAACAGAGGCTGCAATCTGTGGATTTTAAAATTTATTTAAAAGGATCGTTATTAATGAAACTGTTTTAATTAACGAGTAAAAATCAGAAAGTTTCTTAAATGCCTTCAATAGAGAATAACTTCATTTTTTTCAAAAGCAAAGAGTACTCTGCAAGGTGTCTTCTACTGTGCATTACTCCCAGAGCCAAAGTTCAATTAATCTCATACTAATGCACACCAGGGTAGTGAGGGACTGTTGCAGAAACACCTCAGGGCAGTGAAAGGACTGGCAGCACTGCACAGAACCCAGAACTCAGCCTTTCCCACAGAGCAGTGATGGAGTCCAAGACAACTCCTGACCCTCCAGTGCTACAGGGCTGCAAAAATCAGCTCTAAATACCACTGTTTAGTACAGCATTTACTGCTTGAAGATGTAAGAAAACATGTCCCCTTCCCTCTTGACCCAACAACAAAAATCACAGGTCTGAAAGACTCTAGAATTCCAGCACTAATTACATTTATACAGAAAAACTAAATTTTGGAAAGAGAACCCCAGCAACTATCAAGGAGAACCTCCTGTTCATCTGAATTATAAAACTACAAAACCTTTGCAACTTATACAGAATAGCTATCCCTCTCAGCACAACTCAAGTAGTAGCTAGGACTGAACTAGATTTTCAATCAAATACAAAATTCTGGAAGTCTGCTTTTTAATATTTTAAAAAAATATCTCAGATATCTAAATTTTGTTCAGTATAAAACAAAATGAAACAAAAATCAAGTGGGATATAAAAACAATGTCAGTGTAATTTACAGGGTTAATATGATTAGCAGGTATGAATTGGGCATTAAAAAAAGACAACAAACAGATGCCAGAAATCATTTATTGTCTGTGAGCAATAACTGCATGGAATGGCCTGCAAGGAAAGTTCACTGAGGTATCACGTTTGGATTGAGAGAGATGCCATTGAGTGAGAAAGCCAATGCCAATGCCATGGGTGGGAAGGAGGATAAACTACTGTGAAAAGTTTAGTTTCCAGTTTGGTATCTTTAAAATATTCCTTTAAAAGTGGAGATAAACATCCCAAGATTGGTATGAAAGTTTTCCACAGGAAAGCTGAGGGAGGGAAGAGGAACAACACTTTAATGACTTCAGAAAATAACCATCAAGACACTTTCTTACAACACTGTGACTTAACCACAGTGTGAAGAAACGTATTTATGAGCAACCACTCTTGTTCTTGGGAGAATTGGGAGTCAGAAAGAAAGGAAAGTGATCATTTCTTAAACACCAGCCTGACAAAATGGACTGAGGTAAAATAAGGCACCCTGAAACTTAGTAAAATGCTACTCGAAGGGAAGGACATTAGCAAGGAGGCAAACCATCATATACTAACACAGAAGAGAAAATTCTCTTTTACTATTTTGGGAAGCTACAGCAAGTCAGTTTATCTCTAGTTAAAATGCATTTATACAATGAAACACGGGAGTCAGTTCAGTCCCCTTAGCACAGTAGTCTGGGGGACCTGCTGGGAGTAAAGCTTATTATCCTCCCAGGGATTTGAGCAGTCATAGTTCACAACCAATTTGACTTAAGGAAAAACACAGCTGCTATTTTGAAGGTTTCCTGCTGTGTAAGAAATAATTAAGGCTGTACGATCAGTATTCAACAAAGCATAAATAGCAGAGATGCTAAATTAATTCTATTTGGAAATAAGGAGTTAAGTGAAGCTACATTACAGGCTGGACTACATAATGTTCAAAGGCAAAAGAGGAGAGTTAAATGAGAGGAAGTGTGTGTCAGAGGCCAAACTCTCTATCCTAACTATGCAACCACAACATTATTTCATGTTTTAGAAGTCCTTTACTCAAGAAGTAGAAAGTACAATTCCAAAACGAAGCAATGAGTTTTATTCCGATTTAAAATACAAAACCAAAAAAAGGAGCAGCAACTGAACACACTTATCAATGTAAAAAACTGAAAAAAGCACAGACTCATTAAGAACTCTACTACAATCCTGGTACTATTTATATCTCATGCAGAAAAATGCAAGAGATGGCAATGGCAATCCCAGTAATTCAGGGCAGTTCATCCTTAGAGCAGCCTGACCTGAGCTTTGATGCTCTCCCCACACAACCCTCAAAGCACAAACTGCAGCAGAATTCCCAGCCCAGGAATGGCACTGTCCATGTGGGAACTGGGAGGTCAGTTTCTGATTGCTGGACCACAGCCAGCTGGAGGAACACACGACAAGAAGCCTGTGCCATCCCAACAGCTATTCCTCATGTCCTGTAGAAGCGAGGTGGGGAGACAGATGGCTGAGCCCCACGGACTAGAGTCAACCCCTGAGTTGTCTGTCGGACCAGACACTGTTAAGTCATTAGGATGCTAATAGCTTTAACACTGCTTAAAGAAAAAAAAACACCCCCACACAAAACTTCACACCCTACAGTTTTTGCTAAATATAAGGTTAGACTTGCATCTCCTAGACAGGAGGCAAACAGACAATTAGAAGAGGGCTGAGACATCTGCTGAAGACAGGGATTCTCCAAGGAAAAGCTAAGTATCATGACAACTCAGGTTTGCACTAGCACTGCTCCTTTAGCTAACAGAAAGCAAAGCTTAGGTTAGGGATAAGTTTTACTCTACTGCCAGGATTTACATCCTCTGGTTGAGGACATTGTAGATGCCATCTGCTTAATACTCAGGTTATTAATTTTGATTTAAAATGCCAGGCCATAATTCTTCAAATATATATATTTTTTTAAACAAGTGCTTTCAAAATGGCTGATTATACTAGTGTATTCTCTGGGGCTTGTCTTATAAAACAAATATGAAACTTAATTATTCCATGATTTTAAGTTGCTCTGGCTCATTTTTCCAGCTTCCCAGTCAGCTTCTAACTTCCAGGCTTAAAAGAATTGTTCTTCTACCTTCCTAAGCACACATTGACAATGCTGCTGCTGCTTCCCTAAAGAAGCTGCTGAATCCCAGCTTCCTGGAAAGCAGGATCTGTGGCCACATATATGTCAAAAAATAAAACAGACCAGGGCACACAGCCACGTTCTGGGCTTGGAACCAGCAAACACATTACAGCTTGTAGCTGGACAACTAAAATCCTGCTCCTCCATACAGCCCAGCCAGATACAAACAGACTTTTGGAAACAGTCCACCGTCTCTCCCAACCCCAGAACTATGCTTGGGCATTATCTGGGAGAGTGTAAATTGGCATAGAACAAAACTGTGTCATGAGCAGGACTAAAAATGTAACAGTAGAGTGGCATGCCATACCCACTCCTTATTTAGTTCCTGCTATGAACATGCATCACAAATACAGTACTCAGTTGCTTCTGGAGAACATCATTTTTATTAGTTAATATGGAAGTTAATTCCATAACCAGCCAAATGTGTTTCAGAATTAACAGATCACCTTGCCTAGATGGCTGTTGCTTTCAAATCAGGGAAACAGAACCACAAAATCATGTAATATCTGAGCATTTGTGTTTCTACGAGTATCAGATGCAGCACACGAGAAAATCTGCACTCTCTAGGTTTTGGAGCTTTTTAATGTGTTCAGATGGACTGAACATGAGCATCTGATTTTTTAATTTCGGCAAGCCTGGACTGCTGCCAGTACAACATTAGTCCTGATTGTCAGCTGGTATAAAATGGGCATAGCTCTATCAACTGCATTCCAATGCATAGCTGAGATTCTGCTTCTCCAACTTCACCCACATAGGAGTAATGGGCAAGGAAGAAATTCATCTTACAAGATTAGCATTTTAGGAACAAATCTGTGGGTTTATTTCAATAATTCATAAAGTTATATATGTCTTCATACATTTGGTTTTTCATGTCTAAGTCAGAATTCCCAAATTAATTACTTTTTAAAAATTCATGCAAACCTGAATTGAAAGCATTTACCCTTATTTTGCACAAAAAGGAACACAAGCAAGAAGTTGTTGTAAAGACAAGAGAGGCACATAAAACTTTCCAAAGGAAAACACAACTACCTTGGTGCAAATATGGATGTAAATATTGTACTTGGCAAGAATTACTGTGTGTAAAACTTTGTATAGATGTGACTGTGTAGTGTCATAGGGGACTGAAAAATCATTCTGACAATACAAAAACATACAACACTTTCACATCTGCTGACCCACAGATCATCATCTTCAGTGCCAACTCCTCACCTTGGAGTCCTAAGTGCAGTGGCACTGTGTATCGGGTTTCCGTGGCCAGGCTTTGGTAGTGGGGAGGGCAGTGAAGGGGGACAGGATGGGATGATACAACTTGCCACTGGCCAAGGCCAACCCCATCAGTGATGGTGGCAGCACCTCTGGCATAACTGAGTTAAGAAGGGGGAAAAATCTGCTGCAGAAGAGCAGCTGAAGAGAAAGTGAGAGCATGAGCACAACAGCCATGCTCTCTGACCCAAGGCCAGTGCAGAAGGAGGGGCAGGAGGTGCTCCAGGTGCTGGAGCAGAGATTCCCTTACAGCCCCTGGTGCAGCCCATGGAGAGGCAGCTGTGCCCCTGCAGCCCATGAAGAACCACAGGGGAGCAGAGATCCACCTGCAGCCCATGGAGGACCCCGCAGTGGAGCTGTGGGTGCCTGAAGGAGGCTGTGACCCTGTGGGAAGCCTACCCTGGAACAGGCTCCAGGCAGGACCTGAGGCCTATGGAGAGAGGAGCCCACACTGGAGGACATTTGCTGGCAGCACTTGTGACCCCATGGGGGACCCATGCTGGAACAGCCTGTTCCTGAGGGACTGCATCCCTTGGGAGGGTTCACACTAGAACAAACACTTCATGAAAAACTGCAGGCCATGGGAAGGACTCAAATTAGAAAAGTTTATGAAGAACTGTCTCCTGTGAGAGGGGGCCCATGCTGGAGAAGAGAAAGAATGTCAGGAGGAAAGAGTGGCAGAGGTGGGCTGAACTGACTGCAACCTCCATTCTCTTTCTTCTCTCATTTTTGAGGGAAAGAAGTAGAAAAATTGACAGTGAACTTGAGTACGGGAAGAAGAGTGGGGTG